AGGAAGTTATGGATTTTTGAAATTTTACTGACACTGTCAGGCAAAAATAATTTCCTGTGCAACATTTTATTGCGTCACGCGCGAAGAAGGCCAAAAACAAGAGCCTCCTTTTAGCATCTGAAGATGAGTTGTAATAGACGAAATTCCTGAATCAACACCACATGACCCAACTCAATACAATAAAAATCGAGTGAGATATGAACTTTACCGTATCAAACGTTAATAAAAATAAATTCCGGTTCAGCACCAATATGTCTTCAGAAACTCAAAATTCATGGATCATTCCTTTGTGAATCAACTTTTAGCCTCCAAAAATGATATCAAGATGACATCGAGATGAAATTGTGACAATCGAAACCGCACGCATATGAAAAATCTGTCCAAAAGTTATGAGTTTTTTAGCGCACACGAAATAACAGTTCAACCCACTTTTCTTTCGTATTTTTACTGTATAACTTCCAAAAGAATAACGTATTCGGAGATCTTCCTTCGAAATTTAACTTTTAGTCCGAACATGAAAGTTGAAGAGAACGCCGAGACGATTTAAAAACCACAAGAACCAATCTAAAACACCCTTCCAAATGGGAGGTAAGAATTTCCACTCTCAAATCAGCTGAAAAACTGTTTTCTATTCCACTGCTTAAAATTCACCAAAAATATTCAAATCCTCCGTAACACTTCATGCGTTGAACAAATACAGAAACTTTATTGTGTTGACAAAAATACCTTGATCCCGCGAGCACAAATCCAATGATATGCATGTATGCGCATGTTAATAAAGTATAAGTCAATTAGAGACAGAAAATAAAGAGGACAAATTTTGTGGTACAACATATATAAATAAGTAATTTAAAAAAAAAAGTTTAAATAAACTAATAAACTAAAAGACCAATGAGATTAAAAATTTATTTACATTGACTTATTTTAACTTATCTATGAGCATAAATTTTGTGAGACTATTTATTTAAGAGACTTATGACATTGTTTATAAAATATTTTCATCTCATTTTCACAAGTTCTTTAAGATAACTAAATTTTATATATATATTTTTTAAATCAAAATATAAAATATAACATAATGATAATAAAAAAATTATTCATATTTATTTAAATAGGTTAGTCTGATAAACTTAAAATTTTTATTTTATAATCTGAAATCTATTTTTTTAATTAAATAAATTTAAAAAAAACGATAAATTTTTTCTATTTAAAAAAAATTGACCTGAATAGAATAGACTTTATTTTCAGCTTAAGTGTAACTCAATGCTTTGACAGGATGACCTGTCTAAATTTTAAAACATTGAACCAACCGTTATTTTTATTTTAGTTTCAAAGTAAAATTTAAATAAGGAGGGCCAGTGCTGAATTAAGAATGAACATGAGATAGAGACACGTACGCAGAGCCAATGCATTAAAATCATCAATGATGACAATTAGAAAAGGAAAATAGTGCACAACATTTTGTGCTATGTCGATATCACGTCCTTCTCACAGATTTAATAATAGCTTGATGGATAAGTTAAATGTAAATACCGAGCCGAACTTCACAGAAATATTCGAAAGAGTTTGTGTAAAAGTATTTTACAAGTCCAATAAAAAATCAATAGAATTTGCGTTGTTTATTAAATAACGATGTAAAATTACTTAACATCATCGATATATCTTTTATTTTCTTTATTTAAAAACATAATTTGATACGTAATTCTGAAAATAATTAAACGCGAGAGAAGAATACTTGTTTATTTTTAAGAGTTAAATTTTGATTATTAGACAAATAATAATTAAACTTTGAAATAAAAAGTAATGAATAAGACAGTATAAAATTATTTTATTGTGTCATCTAGAAAAAAAACAAATCATCTGTCATGTCATTAAAAAAGTTTAAAATAAAAGGATAACTTAATTGAATATATAATTGTGATTGATTGATAGTGTAAATTATATTATACTCTCAGTGCATCAACCATTTTTTCTTAGAATCTGTTTGATTCAAATGAGGGGGAGAGAAGAGTGATTTTAACGGGGAAGAAAAGGAGAGGGGATGTAATTTTTTTTAATTATATACATGTTTGGTTTAAAAGAAGTGAGGAGATGATAGTGATTTTGATTAAAAATATGTTTGTTACACGAAGAGAGTGAAAATTTTTTATTAATAATTTATGTTTTTATCTTTATAATTTTATATAAATGATATGATATTGAAAGATACAAATTTTTCTTAAATATTTTTTAAAGAAATATTTATAATATTGAATAATTAAAAAATTATAATTTATCATATAACATTAAAAAAATTGAATACACTAAATTCATATTAAAACTCTTGACACGAAATAATTTATGAGTTAATAATAATTTTTGAATATATAAAATAATTTATTGCTATTAAATATTATATATCTTACAATATAATAAACAAAATAAAATAAATTCTATATAATTTTTTTAAAAAATAAAATACATAACAAAATAAATTAAAGTAATTTATATTAAATAAATAAATAAATAAAAATTAAAATTGAAGAATAATTATAATAAGTTGATGAAAGTAATAAAGAAAAATCACAAAAAAGAGAAGCATGAACAACCATAAAAATAATAATTTTGAAATATTAAAATTATACTGAATATATTTTAATAAAGTGAGTGGCCCACTCTAGTTAGGCCCGTTCCGTTTAAGCCCGTACAAAAGCGGGACGGGGCGGGGCGAACAAACTTAGACATTTGAGTTCAAAAGTCAAGTTTATCTCATTTATTAACGAGTTGGCGGGTCAGTCCGCCAATTTTTTTAGTTTTTTAATTTTACAATTTAATTTATTACATAATTTACAAAAATTTCAATCATTACTAGAGAAGTCGACAAAAGATATTTTTTTAACAACGCATAATATAACTTCAACATGTCTTAAGTCTATACACTTAAAAAAATAAAATAGATAAAGACTAATTTCAAAAAAAAACATATCGAAATAGACTCTAGCAGATAAAAAAATATATCAAAATAAATAAATAAACAACACATATCATAATCCTATTTAAAAATTAATTACTAAAAAACCCAATTAATAATTTACACAAGACAAATAATGATAATATTACAGTGCATAAAACATCACAGTGTATAAAATAGTAGTATATAAAATATTAACACCTGACTTCTCATTGTTTAAGTCATATGGACTATTATATTGACTGATTCCTTAATATATCTTAAATTTGTCACACATATACTCTAATTGAATTCTTCTCTTTTTTAAAATTAACATTTATTTCTAAAGAAAACATGTGAGCTAATATATTGACAACTTAATAATTCTTCATGCCATACAATTATTTTTGTATTTCAAGTTTTTCTAACCAATACATGTATTAGAAAGTTATATAAAAAACCATACAATTATAACTCAATTTGTCTGTATAATAATTTAGAATGTAATTCAATCACCACAACCCAAAGAGAATATTGTTGTTTTTATGGTTAAAGTTGTCTTAATTCTAAATAAAAAGTAAAAAGTTGTAATAAAAAACCCGCAGACAAAATTCGTCCCGACTCGCCTAAGTCTGTTTTTTAAAGCGGTTAGACGGAACGGATCAACTTAAAGTACCGAGTCGAAAACCTCAATTCAGTCCGACAAAAATAGTGGATCAAACGGGTTGGTCCGGTAAACCCGACCCGTTTTGTCATTCCTACTCCCATCTCTTATGAATCCCTCCGATTTGGAGGGACGCAAAAATGCGATTTGGAGGAATTTGTTTTTCTCCCCTCCATTCATTTTCCTTCTTAAAAATTAAACCAAACACATTTCATCAGAATTTAATTATAAATATAATATATTATCGATTTATCACCTATATTTTAATTTAATTAAAATTATTGAAGAATTTAAAATTATTATCTATTCTTTAATTTGATTTATTTATTTATTTTCAAGTTTAACTTTTTTTTTTTACAAATTCTACTATTGTGACCTTTTTAAATTATTTACTTATTATTTATATTTTCATTTGATTAAAAATATTAAATATTATTATTTATATTTTAATTCGGTTGATTTGTTTATTTTCATTTTCAATTTTTTGTTGTTGTAAATTTTACTATTATGACCATTTTAAATTAAAATATATTATTGATTTATCATTTATATTTTAATTTGATTAAAAATATTAAAAAATGTGAAACTATTATTTGTACTTTAATTTAGTTGGTTTATTAAATTGCAAGTTCGATAATTTTTATTTTTATTTTTACAAGTTCAACAATTATGATCATTTAAGAACTCACACCAAATGTCCTTAAATACTGATCTTGAACCCTCTAAAAGGTATAGCCTGCAATGCTTTGCACCTCAAATATATTGCTTGCGTCAGTCAACTCTAACTTAAAGTCAAAATAAAGTTTGAATTTATCTATTTTATACTTATTTTTAAAGAGACATGATCTATAAAAGACTTTCAGTAAATCTCAACCATTAAAAATATTTAATCAAACAATCATATAAATAATTTATTTTTTAAGAGAAATATTAGGTGATATATTTTATTTATTTATTTATTTAATTCAATATAAGTGTTTGATCCAATATTATAAATAGTTGAGATTTAGTATAAGTCTTTTAGACTTATATATGAAATCTCCCTCATTTTTAAATTATAACAAGATAGACCAAACATATATTTTTTTTATAAATGAAAAATATATAAAATAGATAAATAAAAAATGTGTACTTTCATGATGACACATCTCAATAAAAAAAGAAAAATACGACAAAAGTGGAAAACACAAGAAATGCAAAACAAAAATCTAGCTGATTCCTATTTATTCGGCTTAAAACTTATGTTTGTTAGCTCATGCAAAATGTACAAAATATAAATATATAGGTAGGTAAAACCAAGCTTCTAAAATCAAATTTCCCCGTCCTTAACTCGTGTATATCAAAAGCTATCAAACCTTGCATGAGAGCTATCACAAATCACACAGGTAGTTGTTCTTGTCCAACACCATGGCAATGGTTGAAGAAAAAGGCTCTGCTACTAGTGAACAAGATTACACTCAAGATGGTACAGTTGACATGAAAGGTAGACCTGTTTTAAGATCAGAAACCGGACGATGGAAAGCTTGCTCCTTCATAGTAGGTAAAACGAAGCGTTTTTAAGATCGTGCATATTTGAATCCGCGGTAATAAACTATTATGCATTTTTTGTTGTTGTGATTTTTAGGGTATGAAGTGTTTGAGAGGATGGCTTACTATGGGATAGCATCAAACTTGGTAATTTATCTAACAAGCAAGCTTCATGAGGGTACTGTGGAATCTTCGAACAACGTTAGCAATTGGGCGGGTTCGGTGTGGATGATGCCACTTGTAGGAGCTTACATAGCTGATGCTAAATTCGGCCGCTATTGGACCTTTGTAACTGCATCATGCATTTATCTCTTAGTAAGTAGAAATGATATTTATTTGCTATATATTATTGGTTGATGCATTGGAGCTTGACAAAACTGTCATTTAGTATGCTACTTATTTGATCAAAAGCAAACATGTCATTCTTTTGTTTGATCACAGGGAATGTGTTTGTTGACTCTAGCTGTTTCAGTGACATCATTGAGGCCACCGCATTGTGCAGAAGGAGTTGCAGACCAAAATTGCCCGCGGGCGTCACCATTGCAAAGAGGTATTTTCTTCCTTGCGCTGTACATCATTGCTGTAGGAACAGGCGGAACCAAGCCCAACATTTCAACAATGGGAGCAGACCAATTTGATGAGTTTGAGCCCAAAGAGAGATCCTATAAGCTTTCCTTCTTTAATTGGTGGTTTTTTAGCATTTTCGTCGGTACCCTTTTCTCCAACACTTTCCTAATCTACATACAAGACAGAGTGGGTTGGGCTGTAGGGTATGGCCTTCCTACCGCCGGGCTTGCCATTTCAGTATTGGTATTTCTGATAGGAACTCCGTTATATAGGCATAAATTGCCCTCAGGCAGCCCTATAACTAGGATGCTCCAAGTCTTTGTGGCGTCGATCAGAAAGTGGAAGGCACGAGTCCCAGATGATCCGAAAGAGCTACATGAGTTAAGCATAGATGAGTATGCATACAATGGGAGAAATCGAATTGATCACAGCTCTTCCTTGAGGTTAAGTCTAATCACTTTTTATCTCTTCTAATGTCATGAAAATTGGACAAGTTAATAATTTAACTTGCATGCATTACCTCTTCTATGCTTGCAGTTTCCTCGACAAAGCGGCTATGAAGACCAGCCAAACTTCATCATGGATGCTTTGTACAGTGACACAAGTTGAGGAAACTAAACAAATGACAAAAATGATTCCTATTTTGATTACAACAATTATCCCAAGCACGTTGATAGTTCAATCAACCACACTCTTCATTAAACAAGGCACCACACTAGACAGGAGTATGGGGCCACATTTTGATATCCCTCCAGCATCTCTCACAGCATTTATAACTATCTTCATGCTAATAAGCATTGTAGTCTACGACCGTGCTTTTGTGCCCATGGTCCGGCGATACACAAAGAATCCCAGAGGAATCACAATGTTGCAGAGATTAGGAATTGGTCTAGTGTTGCACATCGCTATAATGGTCACTGCATGCTTGGCTGAGAGGAAAAGACTCCGCGTTGCAAGAGAAAACAATCTCTTTGGCCGGCATGATACGATTCCCCTTACAATTTTTATTCTCCTCCCTCAGTTTGCATTGGGAGGGGTCGCCGATAGCTTCGTCGAAATTGCCAAACTAGAGTTCTTCTATGATCAAGCACCAGAAGGCATGAAGAGTCTTGGAACATCATATTTCACAACCAGCTTGGGTTTAGGAAGTTTTCTAAGTACTTTCCTTCTTTCAATTGTTGCTAATATCACTGAGAGACAAGGTCACAAAGGTTGGATTTTAGATAACCTAAATATCTCCCGTTTAGATCATTACTATCTATTCATGGCAGTGCTAAGCTCACTCAACTTCCTTTGCTTTGTGGTTGTTGCAAAGTCATTTGTATATAATGTTGATGTCAAACAAAACAAATCAGGTTTGGAGATGAACCTAGCTTCATCTCAGAACAATGTTAGAATAAGCCAAAGCAGTCTACAACAAGACGCCCAGTCCTAGGAAAACCCGACCGTTAATTCTTCTATTCGCATTTCAGTAAACAAATAGCTTCATATATGTCTCTGAATGAGTGGTCTTTTGTTGTTTAGAAACCTTAACATGTTCATAAATAGTTTCAAATCAATGATAAGGAACATTAGCTGAAAAAAACTATGTTGACATCTTTTATTGCACAGAATAATTAAGAATGTTAATGCCTCTTATCAGTTGCATTTAAGTATTTCTAGAAAAACTTGCGGTCATTTTGTGCTAAAAAGACTACCATATGCTAGAATATCTCTCATGTATGTATGACAAAAGAGATTAGGCCCGACTTAAATTCTAAGTCCTAGAACATCCTGAATACCAGAACATATAAATTCAATTGAAATCCATTCAAGCACAAAATGTTGCATACAGAAATTGTTCAAATATAGGTGCATACACAACATACCTGAATTAACTAACTCTACTACTAACTGATTATAGTTGCAGCTACCTAATTTGTTAGATTTATGCATCAGCATTTGTGCGCGGAAAATTTTGCTGCATCTTTATCATTTTCCTTCCTTAAACTTTTAAGATAATTAAGGAAAAAATAGAAGTAAAATAAATTCAGCAGTCAGTACCTGTTCCTAGAATACTAACCAAAGCAACAAAATATGAGAACCTTGATAGTAAGTTACCAGTTTGAGCATACTTAGTGTTTCAGACACTGTTGGTTACATTCAAAGACACCCGTTGCACGACCCGCCATGTAGGAGCTGCCAAGGAAGCAAAAAAACGAATCCCTGTTTTTAAAAAAATCACTTGAAATACTTGTGTACATTTAAATTTATAGTCTATTAATCTGTTTTCCATTATCATAAGTAATGCAAAGTAAAATACAATTTTATGGAAATAGTGTTTGTAGGAGTATTTACTATTTGATAGTCATTCCGAGACGAAGAGAATAATTAATATAAAGTTCAATTTAATTTTTATTTTATTAAAAAATTTATAGACTTATTTTATTCCCACTTTTCTGTGTAATTTAATTAATCAAAAGTTTAAAAAGTTTTACTTCCCTTTTTATCTACTTTTTTTTTTCTCTTAAATTTTCTTTCCACATTTAAGAGTGTGAAACAGTCAGAAGCATATTCCATAAATGTTGTGCCTGCCGGCTACATATGATAATAATATGATGCTAACATGTTATGTTATTCAAATCAATTACGTCATGAATAGTAACGGTAAACTGTCATATATCTTTGTTTGAGGCCATTAGTATAAAAAATATTAGAGATAGATACAAGAGAAAAGCCATCATAGCATTAGAGATTACCAGCTTCAAAAGATCTAATAGTAGTTTGTTGGGTAAGTTAAAGGTAAAACAGCTAGTAAGTCAGTAGAGAAAGAAAAAGGTAAAAAAAATGTGAAATTCATAAGAACTAGAAGACAAAAAATCCGGCGGAATAAACGTTATTTGTTTGTAATCTTGAGATTTTTGTTTGTTGGCTTATGTAAACTGGAAGACTTACAACTTAAAGGGAGTGAAAGCTAAGTTTCTAAAGTCATAGTCTCTGTCCTTAAATACATGAAAAGCTCATGAGAAAAGGTAGCAACCTTGCATGATCCCACATAAGAGCCCAAGTAGTTATATTCTTGTCCAGCATCATGATGGTAATGGTAGAAGAAAAAGGTTTAGCAAACGGGAAAGAAGATTACACTCAAGATGGCACGGTAGACCTGAAAGGCAGACCCGTTTTAAGATCAAAGACTGGAAGATGGAAAGCTTGCTCCTTTATAGTAGGTAAAATGATGCATTTTGCTGCCTTAACAGCATTTTTTAATAGCCCAATCCTTTCACTTTTTGTTTTCACATACAGTATATGTATCATCATTACTTATGAATATTGCATATACATTTTTGTCATTTGTAGCCTATGAAGTATTTGAAAGGATGGCTTTCTATGGAATAGCATCAAACTTAGTGGTGTATTTAACAGAAAAGCTCCATGAGGGTACTGTGGAATCATCAAACAACATAAGCAACTTAAGCGGTGCAGTGTGGATGATGCCACTTGCAGGAGCTTACATAGCCGATGCCTATCTTGGCCGATATCGGACCTTTGTGATTGCATCAGGCATTTATTTCTTGGTACCAAGTGTGAAATTTAATGTCATAATTTGAATATATGCTACTTAGTGGTATAGGTAGGACTTGGTAACAATATGATTGTTTGGGGTCAGGAGTCCTAAGGCAGTACCTGCATTAATAGGTCATGTAACATACCATAATAGCAAACTTGACATCATAACTTGGCCCCAAAACTTGACAATGCTCATATCCTATCTTTATTCTAACCATGTCGCTTCATCACTCATTCACTAACATTTGGATTTCTAAAATTTGGTGATTTCTTTGACTACAGGGAATGTGCTTATTGACTCTAGCAGTTTCACTACCATCTTTGAAGCCACCACAATGTGCACAAGGCATAGCCGACAATGACTGCCCCAAGGCGTCGCCGTTGCAAAAGGGTATTTTCTTCCTTGCCCTATATATAATTGCCGTAGGCACCGGGGGAACCAAGCCCAACATTTCTACAATGGGAGCAGACCAATTTGACGAGTTTGAGCCCAAAGAGAGATCCTACAAGCTCTCCTTCTTCAATTGGTGGTTTTTTAGTATTTTCCTGGGTACCCTATTCTCCAACACTTTCCTAATTTACATACAAGACAATGTGGGTTGGGCTGTTGGATACGGCCTTCCGACTGCCGGGCTCGGTATTTCAATACTGGTTTTTCTGGTAGGAACTCCGTTGTATAGGCACAAATTGCCCTCGGGTAGCCCTATAACTAGGATGCTTCAAGTCTATGTAGCGGCAATTCGAAAGTGGAAGTCATGCATCCCAGGAGATCCAAAAGAGCTACATGAGTTGAATATGGAAGATTATGACTGTAAAGGGAGAAACAGAATTGATCATAGCTCTTCATTGAGGTTAAATCTAGTTACTCTTTATATCTTCAACTCTCACTATACTTGTTTTTCCATGTCAGGAGAATTTGGCATGAATTACTAATTTGCATATACTACCCATTCTCTACTTGTAGTTTTCTTGACAAAGCGGCTATAAAGACCGGTCAAACGTCGACATGGATGCTTTGTACTGTGACACAAGTTGAGGAAACGAAACAAATGACAAAAATGATTCCTATTTTGATTACAACAATTGTGCCAAGCACATTGATAGTTCAAGCGACCACACTCTTCATTAAACAAGGCATCACACTAAACAAGAGCATGGGACCCCATTTTGATATTCCTCCAGCATGTCTCACAGCATTTATAACTATCTTCATGCTGATAACCATTGTAGTCTATGACCGTGTTTTTGTGCCAGTGATCCGGCGGTATACAAAGAACCCCAGAGGAATCACAATGCTACAAAGACTAGGAATTGGCCTTGTGCTGCACGTCATTATAATGATCACAGCATGCTTCGCTGAAAGGAAGCGTCTTAGTGTGGCACGCGAAAATCGTCTCTTTGGCCAGCATGATACACTTCCTCTTACTATTTTTATTCTCCTCCCTCAGTTTGCCTTGGCAGGCGTTGCTGATAACTTCGTTGAAATCGCTAAGATGGAAATCTTCTATGATCAAGCACCAGAAGGCATGAAAAGTCTCGGAACAGCATATTTCACAACCAGCTTGGGTTTAGGAAGCTTTCTCAGTACTTTCCTTTTGACAGCCATTGCTAATATCAGCCAAAGACACGGTCACAAGGGATGGATTTTGAATAACCTAAACATATCCCGATTAGATTATTATTATGTATTCATGGCAGTACTAAGTTTTCTCAACTTCCTTTTCTTTGTGGTTGTTGCCAAGTTCTTTGAATATAATGTTGATGTAACACAAAACAAATATGGTTTGGAAATGATCATTCCTTCATCTCAGGACAATGCTAGAATAGGACAGAGCACACCACAACCAGATGACAAGTCCTAGGGAAAATAGGATTGTTGTACCACTATATGATATCATTTAATACACTCTCTCAAATAAACATCGCATAAGTTGCACTAATTTTCCACATGAATTTCATTATATATTAGCGTTGTTACCATCCATCGCTATTTAGAATGCGTGAGCAATATATATATATATATATATATATATATATATATATATATATATATATATATATATATATATTCAATTGAAATCTCATTTTAACATACACAAATACTGATGTAGATGTTTATTAAGCTCAAGAAACCAACGACTCAGCTCAAGTCACTTGGTTAGGTATCGGAAACAATAACCAATTAAGTTGGTTAGTTACCGATACCTAACTAACTTGTAATTTTCTTGAGCTGAATCAACAATTGCATCAGAATTTGTGTATCTCAAAACAACTCACCTTATGTTTTATGATTTCCCTCACATTGAAACTTCTAAGCTAATTAAAGACAGAAAAAACAAAGTAAAATAAAAGAATAACCTATCAGCTTAGTTCTTAAATTATCATTCATTCTTCAATTTAGTCCATAAATTATATAAATATAACAAATAGTCACTAAATTTCAACTCAATATACTATCGGAACTGCACTTTGAAATCAATAACGGAAAACGTAAAGAGATGTAATAGTGCGGGATTGTCATAGTGTTGGATTACGAGAGGTTCGGGGATCATCGCATCGATAGTTTATGAGCAACCACATTGAGTTTAAAACCTTAAATTATTGAGTCTATTTATTTTTGTGTAACATATGAGACTCATACTCGCATTTGCAAATAGCAAGCAACACATAGCATCATTGAACACGGTGGCTAACAAAATATTACATCGGCTCTTATTTATGAGAAAAAGTTAATTTTTTAGATTCATCTAATATGTAATGTATTTAACTTATATATCATCTAGATAGAAACATAATCCTTAATAAAATATTATGACAAAAATTTATTTATGTAGTCGACTCTATTTAGATAACTCTAAAAGGTTTTCATTAAACCCTAAATTCATATTTGTCCCTATTTTTGTATTTTGCAACACTTCTTTCACATTCAAAGCATAACCCTAAAAGGCTTTCACATTCATATTTGTCCATTGTCTAATGATGACTTCCCTTAGAGTTTATCCCCGAGGCACAAGATAACAGAACTTCTGGCCTTATCCACCATCCCAGTCTTCTCTACTATAGCAGGATAAGGCGAGAAAAGACGAAATGCTTGTTTACCCAGTTTGATCAAAAGATCCATGTCTGAGGGAGAGAGCATCTACCTGATTCATTATACTCAGAAATTTTTTTATAAGACATTACAAATGAGTTACAAGAAAATAGCCTTCTCCTTCAAAGTTCCCAAGAATAAACCTTTATTTTCTACCCAAGTGTTTCCCAACCTCTCAAACTCTCATATAAACTCTCAATATATGAATCTTTCAAACCCAATGTATCAAGAAGTATTATATGATCCTTTTAGATAACTCTAAAAAGTTTCCCTTAAACCCTAAACTCTATTTCTCCTTTTCTCTCTAAAACTCTTAAATTGTCACACTTAAATAATAAAAGAGATACATATTTATATTGCAAAAGCTCACCAGATCTATAACAAATCCCAAAACAAAATACATTAATTGTTAGAAGAAAATATTATAAATATCTTATAATATCTCTTATATTAATTTAGACTATTTCAAAATTAATATAAAATATATATCCAATATTCTAACATCAATGAACAGATCCACAAACCGAACCGACGAAATTTGATATTCACACACCATCCTAATCAAACATTCTTGATGCTCACCGACTTCCTAATTTTTGCCAATCTCGAAATATATTTTCTTTCTCTTCATCAACAAAGATTTTAAGGCATACTTTAACACTACAATGAGATGTGAAAGAAATTGTCACTATAAAAAATCTATTTGAAAGTCAAAATAATGAAATGTGGATGTTCTTTTAAGTTGTATAGGTACCAATTAATATGTTGTGTGATGTACATAACTATAATTTAGATTGCAGGTTAGCCATTCATCCTATTGTTAGCCATTTAGATTCTAAAGAGAGAAAAAATTGTTGTTGGGATGACAATGAACATAGTTCAGCCAAAAAACTACTCACAACTTTGAAACAAAAAAGATACGATATTGTTTCAAACATTAAGCAAGTTTATAGTGTTTGACACATAAATAATAAGACGAGAATGCGTATAAGATCTGAAATGCAACATTTATTAAAACTGTTCGATGAACATCATTATGTTTTATGTAGTGTGTAATGATGGAAAATTTCCTCTGACGTATATTTTAAACACATCCTGAATCCATCAAGTTATTTAATATATTTCTCATTATATTGATAATTAAATCAACATATAAGACCAACAAATACATGGTACCTCTATTTGAAATTGTTGGTTTGACTTCTACAAAGATGACATATTCAATTGGCTTTGCTTTTTTGGAATGTGAAAAAGAGTATAATATTACTTGGCCTCTAGATATGTGTCACAATCTATTGAAAAACTTAGAAAATATGTCACAGGTGATTGTCACTGGTCGTGATACTTCACTAATGAATTTGTGTAATGTCATAATCAATTATTCTATAGAGTAGTCATATGTTGATCATGGCATACAGTTCATAAATGTGTGCGCAAAATATCCATAGTTTTTGAAATATGTTAAGACTACAATACCATACCATGTGAAGGAGAAGGCAGTTTGTGCATGGATTGATCAGGTTAGAAACTTGGCAACACCACAACAAACAAATATGAATCTGGTCATGGTAGATTGAAGAAATTGTATAAAGGTAGTGTAATACGGTGGGAGAACTGACTTAGGATGTTTTGTGTTTTATCGCAATTGTTGCGGATAGCAAGAGTCGCCACCGACTTTTCTTTTATCCAATGAGAGAAAGGGTGAAAAGAACATGAAAGACCTTTGAGATTATTTCCTTGAGTTCGGGGGATAGATTATGAAAAGGGAAGGTGTTAGAACCCTTTTCATCCATAGTTATCTATGGGCTCTTAGTTGCTTGCTAGATCACTTGCTTTGTTTGAAAATACGTTTTGTGGTGGTTTTTGAAAAGCTCCTTCATTTAGGCAAACTTTGTAATGATTCTCGTCTCTATAAGAATGTATACAAAGTGTTGGACTTTTGAAAAATATTTCATGGAAAGTGTTGGTGTATTTGAAAAGGTGTTTGTTTTGAAAATGAGCAAGCAACTAAGAATGTTTCTACCTACTCAAAAGTCTTTTTTCTTTTCCTCCTTTGATATTTCTATCTTACTATTGATTGGTAAGAAGCCTTATCTTTGGATGTAAAGGGACGAGCGTGGGTCATCGTATAGCCATGATAGAAATATTGTGAGATATCTTAGTATTTCTCTTGAGGGACTAAAATCACTTGTAAGGCAACATTTGAAGCTTCATCGAGGGACTATGATCTTGTATTTTGATTGTTTTTGCTAAGACATCTCACATGCATAACATGACCATTTTCATAAGGCTACAAGTGGAGTGAACCCTAGGGGTGCATGTGTGAATAGTGTGCTTGATTTGCATGCATTTAGTCTTTGATTATTGTTTTTCTAAGCAATGATTTTATCTTCCCATACAAATCCTAATTACTAACATTTATATGAAAGGGATAAATTACGGAAAGTAAATATTCTACGCTATTACAATCCTTTTGGGGATGGGGAATACAAATTTACAAATGGCGATTGCAAGAAATTTAAGTCCTAATTTTTTATTACAACCATATTGAAGTAATGTGCAAGAAATGTAAAATAGACTTGTTTTGTTTTTGTTAACAAAATAAATAAATTTGCTTAAGAAAATATTTTTAGTCTTTTTTATTTTAAAATAAATAAAATAAAGTATGTGAATATAAAGTATTTTTTTGGTGTTTTTGATTAATGAAAATAAAGTGATGATAAAAATAATAAGAGAAAAAGAAACAGAGTCATCACATTGCTGAAAGGATAGAGATCAGAAGCAGAAGTTCTGATTCTGGTGCGCTACAAATCAGAAAGAAAATGTTAGCAGAAATGGGGAAGGCCAGAAGTTCTGGATCTAGACCCACTAAAGTTTTGGGGTTACCGGGAACAAGGGAAGACATAGAAGTTCTGATTGTTTAAGGAAGCCTAGAAGTTCTAATTTTACTGGAAGGTTAGAAGTTCTGGTTGTTGGGAGAGTCTAGAAGTTCTAATGCAGCTGGAAACTTAGAAGTTCTAATGTTACTGGAAAGCTAGAAGTTCTGATAATGGGTATGTGAGGTGTCGATGTTGTTGGGTGTGAATATTTAGAAGTTATGGTCCAAGATCACTGTTTTGACAGTCAACTAAAGGGGGGTTTATCTAGAAGGTTTGGTCCAGGATCAAGGTTTGACAAATAATGGGGAAAAATATCAAGAAATAAACATAAAAAGGTGTTTCTAGGGCTAGAACTCAGGACCCTTAACATTAATGCCTTATGCGCGCGCTCTCTACCACCGAGGTGGCTATAGATCTGGTATTAGAAGTAAAAACATAAACATATGTTAACAAAGTAAATTCTGATGATGAACTTCATCTCCTTCTCCACGCTAGTCAGAGTATCTACAACTTAGTTATTTCTCAATAAAAATGAAAAATGCAAATATAGCAGTTATGGCAAATTTCATAATGGTTTCAGAAATATAAAGCATCAGAACTGTAAATCAGAAACAAGCATGAATTTGGCTAATTCTCATTCTAAAACCTAATTTCCTCAAGAAGTTATGATCTGAAATCTCTCTACTTAGGCCATATAAATGAAATCTATAAATATGTGCAGAATCAGAGTCAGGATATCTATATTGTATTTTTGGAAATGCAAGCCTAAAAATGCATAAGTAATGAGATAAAAGTCAAAAGAAACTTACCTTACAGTTGAAAATTGTTCTGTGAATTAGAGTCTGGTTCAGGTTGTTGTGATGTTCTGATCAAATTCCTCAAGTTCTCAGAG